AGGGGCTCAAAATTAAACCTTTCAGTTTAGTTGACTTTGACACTAGACCTTTTGAAGCAATAATATATAGACCATCGTGACGAGTAAAAATTTCTCTACAAGATGGTATATGTGCTTTCTTGCGGTCAAAAATTCAATGAAAACTAATCATCGCCTTCAAAAATCTGTACTCAGCATTTAAATGTCTTAGTGTTTTATTTCTAAAGAATAAAGAATTAAATAATTATGTCGACGGACATTATGTGTTTTTTCTGACATTTCTGTTTTATATTTTCTCTTTCTTTCGTCCCTTTTTCAGGCAAAATGTGCACCTGGTAATCTAGAGAACTATGGAAGCTAGAAAAGTTCTGAAAAAGGTACGATATTCCCTTGACCTTGGAGATTGATCAATGCACATTCTTTTTTCAAAACTAAGTCCAGATTCGGCGCCATAAGCTATATAAGCAGGAGTAAAATGCGTTTCGGACTTAGAAACTTTTCGTATATTTATAAGAGCTGATTGTCCGACGCCATTTGTTCTTGAGACGAAATGTTAAATAATTATATCTGTATTGATCTGATTTACTCAATATATAAATATATATATATATATATTGAGTAAATCAAAGCAAAAATGGAGTTCTTATCGCCTATTGGCAGGATCTACGTGGAGCGGTTGGTTCAGTCAGAGACAGAGTCTGTTGGCATCGCAACTTGTACCCAGAACAATTGCATTCTAGTTTTATTTTGAGTTTTATTTTTATGACGAATACAATATTGTCAATATATTTGACAACAAAATTTACCAGTTGTCGTTAAAAAATACCGGTTTATTCTTTTTAAAAATGACTCACCCGTTTCAAAGTATTATAAGTGTATTTCTGTGACACACCTCTCCTGAACTCCAATGTTTAGTTTATTCAGAATCGAATGGACCCTGCTTTAAAAGAAAGTTTAACTCTCCAGCTCATAATCTGGTATTTTTATTGAAATTTTAGTATATCATGAAAATTGTTTAAACATGATTTTCATTTGTATAAAGTCACGTTTCATCATCAATAAGTAAATTAATGTTAAGAAAGAAGTTTACGAATAGGTAGGATATTGCTAGCCGGGCATGGAAAATAAGAAGTAAATAGTTGTATTACTGCCCGCCCAAAAAAGTAATGGACTCCGCTATTTTTGAATAACTTTTGGTACAAAGCACTTAGACAGCTCCCGTTTTCGGCATCTAAAAGAGAAGACTTCGAGACATTATTCTGTTTTTGGAAGAAGATTTAAAAAAACTAGTGAAAACCAAGTTTTACAAAAATTAGGATTTTCAGGCTCTTTTCACATAATATTAAAAAATTCACCATTCACTCAGGAAACCGAAAAACAAGTTGGAAACCACAGGATAGTTTTGTAGTTTTGTTTACTAAACATGATTATATCATCGAAAAGATTGAGAAACCATGTTTTGGTTTAAGGATTTTCTAGAAACATTTGCGGAAAACCGTAGAATTCTGTAAATTCTTTTTTGTAGATTTGTTATAAATAAAATAGTCTAAGTACTGTACATCCTGAGGTTTCCAACTCGTTCTTCGGTTTCCTGCGCGAAGGATGAACTTTTTAATATTATGTGAAAAGAGCATGAAAGGGTTAATTTTCTTAAAACTTGGTTTTCACTAGTCTTTTAAATATTTTCTATAAAACCATCAGTTTTCGTTCGATTATTTTGAACGACGTTCCATTGGAAAGAGCGCACAGAACTAAACAAAATTTGATATTTAAAAATATTTTAAAGTCAAAATAGTAGTCGCAAAAGAATATTTTACTAAAATTTTGAGGTTTTGAAAAAACTGAGATTTTTGTGGAAAAACCTGAATACTTTAAGCAACCAAACGGAAATCCATAATAGAGTTTTGATATTTTAATAGAGCAAACAATTCTGCACCTGATGCATTGTTTAAAAATGACAAAATCGATGCAACTCGGGATCAAAATGGTCCCACAATAGTCAAAGCTGGAAATGACCAAAACACAGAAAATGCTCTATATAATTTTTTTCGTCGTCAAACTATTTCTAATCGATTTTCAGTCAAGATTAAGTATAGAAAAACCTTTCCTCCTTCAATACGTTTTTTTCTGTGAAAAAAACAGATTTTTCCAAAAAACTTGCGAAAAAGTCGAAAAAATCACCATTTTTAGTTTTTTCTCTGTAAAATCGACAGTTTTCATTCAAAGCTTTCGATCAATATCCCATTCGAAAGAGCAGTAAAACTTAAAAATATCTAAAGAAGAAAAAGAGTTTTGCAGAGCAAGTGAAAGAATGCATCCTAAGGCGCCGTTAATCCAAAGTTACAACAAGATTTTATTTTTGAAAAGTTTATATATATTCCGAATCAGCGCAACGAGCTGATCCCTAATACCATATTTTTAGCTTGAAAAAATTTGGTATGGTGGTAATGGTATATGTTTTGAAAATTTTGTTGATTTTCATATTTTGGTGAAAATCTCAGTAATTTTTCGACGTGAAAATTCAAACAAACAAAAGTGGTCAGATAGGATAAAAGGTACACTATTCGACTCAGTTTCGACGCTGACTCCGAATATGGTACTTTTACTGCATAAAAATTGAGTTCTGGTGGTGAAAACTGAGAATTACAGGCACACATTCAATTTTTTCGCTTCTGGTGTAGAAAAAGTTAAATTTCTTAGCAGTGGAGAGAAATTTCAAAAATCCGGTACTATACTTTCGTTGTACGAATCACGACGGTTCGAATGGCATATTTCACAGGGTTCCACCTCCTCACGCAAAAAACTAGATAGCTTTAACTAATATTTACCCTCTGTCCATTCAAACGTCCATGGCGAACGAGTGTTTACCTCTGAAATGGACTTAAGACCATTTTCTAATTCAGTCTTCAACGCTGAATCAGAAACAAATAGTTTCAACCATCAGTACTGTAATATAAGCTGAAAATATTGATTTTAAAAGAAAACGAAGGATTTTTCGATTTTTGAAACCCTCTCAGTGTTTCGCGTTTTTCTCTCTGAAAAGGAAGTTTTTTTAAGCTAAAAGTATGGTATTAGTGATCAGCTCGTTGTGCTGAATCCGAATATGTATAAACAAGCTGATTCATTTTATGATGTGTTTCCCGAAATTGAAGCAGATGCCAAAGTATTTGTGATTGAAGCGTGTTCTAAAAAGTCAGGAGAATTCAACGCTTTGGTAAACTGAGCATCAATAAACTGAGCTCAGTTTATTGATGAAAATACTATGAATTAACGGGAATTCAAGAACAAATTGGCGACGATTTTATAAGATCTGAAAGAAGTTGTCGTGTGGATCTTCGTAGATAGGTAGCTAAGTCTGAAGCAAATTCACAATGTCCTTATTTTGAAGGACACGAAAGGGATGATGTAGTGAAACATCATAATGAATTTATTGGTTATTTTCTACCACATAAAGATTTTTATTACACAATTAGTAACGGTGACACACCCATGTGGAATATTCCAGCCAAAAGTCCGTTTTTCCGGCCAAAACACCGTTTTTTTCGAAAGGACGTGGACGGAGTCACATGATTTCGGATTTTCTCGTTCACCATCCGAGTGGACCGTTTTTTGAGCTTAGTGAAGATGAATGGAAACAAGCGGTTGCAAAATATAAGTCATTAAATGACGATGCTGATGTTAATTATATTCGTCGAACAGCAACAGCTAGTATTAATATCGAAACAGACGCTTACTTCGATAATGATAAGATCTTAAGTCAGTTTGAAAGACTTTTTCAAATGCTAGAATTTAAACAAGAATACAAGAATAATCAGATAGAAATCATCGTGGACAACGCAAGAACCCATACTGCTAAAGCATATTCATTACATAATTTTGGTAAAAATATCGGTACTCGTTGTCCAGTTAAACAAATTGAATATATCGATGAAAACGGCGCAATAAAAGTTATTGATTGTTATTTTCAACGTGGAGAAACTAAACATAAATCAAAAGGTTTAGTTGAATTATGTAAAGATCTAGGTATTCAATTACCAGATAAAGCTAAGTTAAAGGAAATTCATGAAATACTTTCAACACATCGAGCGAGCGTTTCAAAATGTAAGTGAAAGTCGTTTTATACTTTCAAAGACAGATTTCGCCTTTTATCATTTACTTTTCTATCTAGGTTACAAAACTTGAAATGCTGGCGGTTAAATACAGTATTAAGATTATCTACTTCCTAAATACCATTGCGAACTAAATGCCATTGAAGGTCTTTGGTGTAATCAAAGCATATCTGTCTTGTAAGAACAAACACGTGAGAAGAGAAAAAGTACTTTTCTTCTTCAGTGAGCACACGCACATATATATAAAACTGAATAAGTTGAATGATGATAAAGTCAGAGTAAATACATAGCAATTGAGTGAAAAGGACTTAAGACATGTAAATAGAATTGCTGTGTGCTTATTTTGAGCTCAGACCTTCACTATTCTGAGATGTATTGCATGTTGTTAATTAAGAAGAAGCCGGGTAAGGGATAGTGAAATTTCCCGCCTAACTTGATTACATCATGTTCTCGCAGAAAAGTCCGAGTAAAACATGATGTAATCTACTATTCCAAAAAAGGATCTTACTTGTTATATCTAACACTTGTTGGACGATCTGTTTTTCTGATATAGCTTGCCTCAATATGATCTCGAAGTTTCAGCCTTACCAAATGTTTGTGTCTCAAAGGACGTTTTTGTTCAAAATCAATTTTTATGACGTTATAAAGTTAAGAACCTGTATGAAGGTGTAAAAGAGCGACTTTTGTACTACAGGTTTTTCTGTATTCAATGCAACTGGAATTAGGACTTCAAACGAAGAACTGATTTTTGAGAAATTTTGAATAATATGACTTTATTCAACTTTTCGTGACGAAAAGTTGAATAAGTCGAATGATAACTTCAGAGTAAGTAAGTCCACAGCAATTGAAAGAGAGAGTTAAGAGATTAAGGGATGTGAATAAAATTGCTGTGTACTTATTTTGAGCTCAAAGTCTAGGTGAGTCTGAAATGAATCGCATCGTGTTCTCGAAGAGAAAGCCGGATAAAACACGGTGAAATTAGTGTCTCACTGCCTCTTAGCTTTCTTATTCCAAATATTTCTGCATTTTTCTGTTTCTACTCAAGCCGGAATCTTGCACAAGAAGCAAGATTTATTAACCAGAAAATAAAATTTCTTGTATTTCTCCAAGTCAAGATCTTGATAAGAATGTAAAAGGAAACTTCCACTACTCTGTAAATTGTGCGAATTTAGAGAAATCGCACTAACGCTGAGAATTTGATACATACAAAGACGCTTTATCTTTAGTTTAAAAAGAAACTTAATCTGACTGAGTTTTCCGAAAATGGCTTTTGCATTTTTCGATAGATTTGTTTCAAATGCTATCAGGGAAATGTTTCCCGCTGTATTGTCAAAGTATCAAACTTACATCAATTTTGCTAACACTGATTTTATGTACACGCAAATACATTATAAATAGAGAAAAGCAAGAAAGCAACATGTGAAATGTCTTTTTTGCATGAAGTCTATATTTCGTTGATTATTATATAGCATAAATAGAGTTTTTAGGTCACATAGACTTAAAAACATGTGTTTATATACATCTACTTAGGGCATACCAAAAATAATGACGTCCGTATCTTATTTCCTTAGTAGAATGCCTGAACAACTTTTCTTTTCTCATGCGTTGATAGAGGAGAAGATGCTCTATGTTTCTGTACTATTTGATCAT